ATTTTAAAATAATATTTGTTGAATTTTTATTGTGGGGTAGGTACTAGTAATCACCTTTATAATTTTCTCATTTACTTATTATTCCTAGTTTACAATTGAGAAAATGAGGCTTAGCAGGGGATGAAGTGATTGCTTAAGGTTATACAACTAAGTAGTGATAGAGCTGGGGTTTTAATCCAAGTATGTTTGAGCACAAAACTCTCTATGATCGAATTACATTTTCTCTTAGCTTAATTCAATAACAAATCATATAAAGATATGCTATGGAGATGAATAAGATAATGAATGAAAATTGCCTTGAACGATTTGAGGAATATAAATGAACTATTCAAATTAATGTAGCAATTTTACTGTGAAATTGAAAAGTAGGAGGTGATTGGAAAATAGCTAAGATCTAGTGTTGCCTTTCAGTAGTTTAGAAATCAGAGAACTTTTTTGTTTGTAAAACTTTCCAGATGTTCTCTGAACATCTGTATTGGATACATCGTGAAGCACATGTCTCTCCAGTGGGTTTTTTGTTTTTTATACATATAAAAAGTGGCCTTTAGTAAGCCATTTAAATAATGATTTTTTAAACGATGACCACCTCTGGAATAGTTCTTGGGATTAAAAGACTGGAAAGTGTCCCTTCTTTCATTCAATGCAAATTTTATTTTGCGCCTTTGAAGTACCTGTCACTCTATTTTGGTGCTGAGTATGAAATAATGAATAGAAAGACAATAATAAGTAAATAAATACATAATTATGTCTTGAGAAAAGTGCCGTGAAGAAATGAATTGGGTATCGATTAGAAGTAGCTCACCATCTGAGAGTGGGCCAGGCAGAGGAGACAACCTGTGATGAAGCCCTGAAGCAGGTTCAGGAATTGAACAAAGGCCACTGGTGCCAGAGGACAGGCGGTGAGGCAGGAGTTGGGACAAGCTGAAGCTGGCTAGGTGGGAAAGGATTGTAACATGCAGGACCATGGCAGCCATGAAAAGCAATTTGGACTATATTCAGAATGTAATGGTGTTGGGCTCTTACCTGCACGTAATCCTGCTGACTGTAGGTGGGAAAGGATTGTAACATGCAGGACCATGGCAGCCATGAAAAGCAATTTGGACTATAATCAGAATGTAATGGTGTCGGGCTCTTACCTGCACGTAATCCTGCTGACTCAATGCACAAGGTAATAGGTATGAATTCAGACTTTCAAAGATACTGCTTTTTTTTTTTTAATATCAGTTGTCTTTGTGGATTTATTGCCTGACAATAATCACTAACATTTAATTTTTTAAACGATTTAGATTCAGAACTCTGCACTTTATTTAAGCTTTTGAATAACCTTTGGTTGTTTATGTTATACCTCTTGTAGATCTTAGGGTGGATTTACAGCCCTTGTATTAGACAAGAGAATAGACTATTGTTAGATTTAATTGAAAATCATAGCAGTTGCCGCTTTGCTCATTGAACTACATTAACCTCTTGAGAACCTTCCGTCTGCATCAGTCATGTTTCACGGTGCCTTTAAATTCCCTTTTATTCATTGTCTATAATTTTTCCAAAAATGATGTGCTGCTTTATAAATTATTGCATGAAAGCTGAATTTGATTAGAATAAGACTCACTGATTTTGCCACAGTTTTTTACACAAAGGGAGAGTTTAGTACCTTCAGGCCAGTGAAGCATTTACTTGTCGAAGGTGAACTTCTGCTGATGGTTGAATGAGGATAAAATCTAGAGTCATTCAAAAATGCAAAGGCATATGGTATATAATCAGGAAAATAATCCCTTTTGAGAGCTGCAGAGTGGCCACATCTCAGATAAAGCAGTCCCGAAATGTGTTTTTCAGTGAATTGAAGCACAGGTGTTGGAGTCAGATAGATCCAAGTTTATATCCTGGACCAGTAAGGGACTCTCCTCCCTGGCTCAAGGCTGTGTGCTGTCTTTGCCTGGCAGGTGTTTAAACCTAGCATTTCTTGGGGGGGGGGGGTCATGGCAGATGATTACAGCTGACTCTCAGGGGCACTTTCTGCTGGGCCCTTCATTCTGTAGCTCTCTTAGCTCTGGAGGAAGCACTGCTCTGGGTGTTTGCTTGAGATTTTCCTCTGCCCTGGGCATCTAACTGCACCCTTCCACCCTCTTGTCCTGAGATCTGGCACTTCTCTAGGCAGTTCTGTTGGACAGTACCTAAAATAACCCCATGCCTGCTCTTTCCTGCAAAATCCACATCTGCAGCCTCGAGGCAGCAGTCCATCCCAGACTCTTCCTCCAAAGTAGTGAGTCCTCCCTTTTCTTGCCTTCTAGATTTCCAGTCATAGTCCCTTTAATTTCTCAGGTTTGGATCAGGCGCTGTCTCTTTATCTCTCTCAGGCTGGGGTTAGTAGAAGGTAATAACCCTCTCCCCAGTGGGAAGGGTAACTTACAGCATGGCAAGGGCTCTTGCCAAGGAAGTCTTGTCACCTGTCTTCTCAAAACCTCTTCAGTCTCTGACCCTGATTTATATTTGAACGAGGGATCCAGGAGTCATGGAACAGGTTTTTGGCCATTTCCTTTAATATCTGTGTGCAAGGAATCTGTTTCTTAGTCACTTTGATAGCCTGATGGCTTCTATTCACACTGAGGCAGGAATGTCCCCTGTGAGGGTGGTTACAGCCAGCAGTTAGTGCTTCCTGAGGGCCAGATTCAGCACCCGTTCCATGTGCCTTGGTCTCCTGCGTTGGTGTGTCTAAAGGAGACTTTGATGGCATGAGTCTTCATGTGGGGTACCCCAAGTGTTTTTCAGGTGCAAGTCAGATTGGAACAGTGATTCTTATATAGGGAGCCATCATGAACGTTGTAAATATTACCCAAGGCATCTGAGTTTTCTGCCATTTAAAGCCAAAAAAGGGGTTTTAACTGTATCTTTAAGTGACATCCTGTCTTGCTTGTAGATCTAATGAAATGCAAATTAATGCTTAGAGGTTTGAGGGGAGAGGAATGATATATTTTTGTAACCTTCCTTCTGAAAGGTTATAAGTTCTTTAGACTGGGAAGGAGAAACCTTCAGTATTCACTAGAACTCATCAATTCAAAGAGAAGCACAGTTGAATTTGCTCTGTGTCATTAGCACAGAATGCCCTGTTGAGAATAAGAACTAGAGATGAGTCATAAAGTACAGCCATTAAGTCAGAGCTTTTATTAATGACAATCTACAAATCACCTTGTTCTTTTCTTATTCACTTTGTCTGTTCTATAATTCTGATGTACTCATACTTAACACAGATTGATTATCCTTTGACAGCTATAATTTACTTCAATTTTTTCTTATACTTTTCTCTCTTTAAAATATTAAGCCATGTGAAATATACTGATTGAGGTACTTTAAAAAAACATAGTAGAGTATAAGCAAATGACTTTTGGATGTAAGAGATCTTTAATTCTCACTTGAGGAAAAGGTTGCTGGGGTGATCTAAACAGCCCAAGATTGAGGCCCCTCGGTATCCTCAGAGTTCCCTCTGGCCTTTGTCTTGTTGTTCCTGTGGATAAATGATAACCTAAGCGTGAATTACTAGTTTCTTGGTTATAAAAATAAGCAGTGTCAAGAACCCCACCTGCAACACCCCTGTGATGCTGGGATCATGAAACCCGTGATGGTGGAATAGGATTTGGTTCTTGTCTTTTCAACGTGTTTGAACTGTTGCCGGCAGCCCTGTCCTTACTTCCGCTTGCCACAGCATCTCTCCTTCTGGGTGACCTGTCCTGCCTCAGGCTGGCTTCTGTTTCTGCCCTTCCATTTTCTCCTTTCCCCATCGCTTCTCCCACCCTAATCCCTAGCTCTTTTATTGAGCACTGCTATTGTGAGTTGCAACCCTGGGACTTGAGGAGAACTGGTTTCTCTACCTTGCTCTCTGTGTCCCTGCAGTCTTTTCTCAGGAAATTCTTTTTATTTCTCTTCTTTCCTGGCCAGACTTTATCCCCAGCTTGATTTGGTGTTCTCCTGGTGCATTGCAGTAGACTCCCCTCCATCCTTCTGTAGACTTCTAGTCTGTGTTTGGCTGTCAAATACTTACATCCTTTGTTAATGTTACCTTCATTAGTGTTGCCTTCTGTTCAAACAGTGGCTCCTCAGTAACAGATAACTGAACTCCCTCTACGTGGCTCACTGAATGCCCATCAGACCCCCACCAGCATCACCACCTGCCCCCGATGCTGAACAACTTTCCTCTTATTATTGAAAATGGATCTCTCACTTGTTCTCTTTACCAGTCTTCCTCCCTCCCATCCTTCCTTCTGTTCATTCGTTCGTTCATTCATTCATATTCCTTTCATCTCTCCTCATTCCTAGCTCTGGCCTGCATTCCTTGAGTTACCTGTATTCCCACCACTTCATCCTCTGGAAAGCTGTCCTTTCTCTGATAACCCTCAGTGCTGCCCCCTATCTCCACACTCCTGCCCTCAAGATGAAATTTAACTCTTGCTTAAAGGCTGTCACTTTCTGGAGGTCTTCAACCAACTAATCACTTACCTTTGTTTGTACATTTTACTGCTTCATATTTTTATGTGATTGTGTCTGAAAGGCAAAGATGACCTCCTCTTCCCATTTCTCTCTAGCACATTGCAGGGTATCTGGTGTACACTAAGGGTTTAATATATTTTTGTCACATAACCAACCCTGTCAGACATGGGTCATGATTTGGTTTTTGTTGTTTGCTTCCTTATATTTCCTGCAGCATAACCTTGGACACAAAATAGGTAGGCAGGGTTACTGGTATTCCACACATTGTCTAGATCATCTCAAAAGCTCCTGGCCCGAGGTGGAGAATATTTTGTTTCCTCTGGACATAACAGTGACAATCATTTATTAAAGGAATATACTGAAAACTAGAGAAATGATTAAAAACAATTATAAAATGATTTTGCAAGTCTCGTTGCTGCATAGCACAATATATGGCTCTAGAACTATTATTCAATTAAATAAATATGTTTTGTGCTAATTTCCAAAACTGCATTAGGTTTTCTCTCTCCTCCTTCTCTTTTCAGAATGGGTTGCTTGTGTCAGGTCCAACTTTTTGGTCTTATGCTACCTCCATGATGTGAAGAATGTTCTGCAGCTCCATGACCTGACTACTGGTTCTCTCCTCAAGACCTTCCCGCTCGAGGTTGGCAGCATCGTGGGGTACAGCGGTCAGAAGAAGGACTTCGAAATCTTCTATCAGTTTACTTCCTTTTTATCTCCAGGTGAGTTTTTTCGCTGTTGCTGTTCACTTTAAAAATCAGACTGATATTCGGGTTTCTTTCAGGAAATGGGAGTATACTGTTATTGAAAATCACATATGCTGTACAACAGCCAAAATTACTTAATGGGAATAAAACAGTAAAACAGACACTCAGAACAAAGGGATATAAATGCCTAAAACTGTACTCTCCTTAATCTTGTATTCTGAGTCTCTGTTCTTCTGGGGGCAGGAATAACTCTTGCTCTAGATTGATCAAAAAATTAATACCAACAAATATAACTTTCGAATCAGCCTTTGGTCTATATGCACAAGAAAACACAGTGCAGACAAAAAACATTAAGTAAAATTTGTAGCCACATATGACATTTAAAAAAATGTTTTCTAGTATAAATTATGCAGTGGTTAAACTGAATGAAAATATAATCCTAAAAGTATAGTCCTATGTCATGAAAAAAAAAGTTTGTTACTTGGTTCTAGTAGAAAAGAAAAGGGGCTAGGTTGTGATTTTCCTTCTTGCTTTTGGTTTTTCTCTGCTTCTCCATCTGGCTGCAGTGTTCCTGTAGAGTTGTGGCCATGCACATACTGTGGTTTGCCCCAGGAGTCTGCCTCAAATGGCAGTTTGCAGTTGATCAGGCAAACCCTGTCTTAAAAGCAGTCTGGCTGAAAAAATGTCTGCACTTTTTTTTTCATTGGCCGAGCTCCTGCAGAGTGCTTTTGGTCCCACCTGGTTTTGTTGCAATCATTTGGTCATTAGAAAATAAAGCAGCCCTAGGGCCGGCCCGTGGCTCACTTGGGAGAGTACGGTGCTAACACCAAGGCCATGGGTTCGGATCCTATATAGGGATGGCCTGTTAGCTCACTGGCTGAGCGTGGTGCTGACAACACCAAGTCAAAGGTTAAGATCCCCTTACCAGTCATTAAAAAAAAAAAAGAAAGTAAAGCAGCCTTAGGGGAGAGCTTGGCAGGTGCAGGAGTAGTTTCATCCTCCTCTGGGGATTGGGCCAGGTGACAGTGATGCTTCATCCCCTTTTCTTTTGAGCCTCTGAGTCACAGAGCAGGCAATCCAAGCAGAATCTTATCATGGTGACAGGTTGCTGTCAGGGTTATTAAAACCAAAAGAATGATGTTCTGTAAGCAGGTCTGATGGTATACCTGGAAAACCTAGCAGCCTTTATTTTCTCAAGCCCCTTTCAGGGGATCACAAGGGGCTAGGAAGAGTGTCCACAAGAATGTGGAAACCAGGGCCAGGAGTCGGGAACCGATGGTTCAAGAACTCCACTTCAGGGTGTCCTGTGTCTTCCTCCACCCCCACACCTCCTTTCTGTGGAATCTGGAGACTGCAGCAGCCAGTGGACAGGCCAAGAAAAATCTGTGTCTTCTGGATAGCTGTCCTCAACCCACCGCTGCTGGGTCCTCAGTTTATTTCCTCATGCTTACGCTGGTTTCAGAAATTTTACTTTGGAAAATCCCATATCTTAGACAGTTCCAATGGATAAAAGGCAATGAGGAGAACAGAGTGGGGGTGACTCACCTGCTCTTAATCAAAGCCAGAGTCCCCAAAGGCCTCTAGTCTTCCTTCAACGACCCCAGGTGACCATTTATTTCAGGAACAAGCTCATCATTGCTTGGGGAAGAAAGGACTCATTGTCCAAGTGTGAAGTGATGGATTCTGTGCCAAGTGATGAAATATTATCTGTGACTGTGGCTGTGAAGTTTGAAAAGAGAAGTGTGTTCCTAGTTCTGTATCACCAGGCAGCTTCTGAACCGGCTTTGTTACTGTAGTGTTTTGTCTTCTTGTCTCCTCTTATTCATTTTGTTGTGGTCTTTTTCTTTTCTCTCCTTAATGCAATTCAATATCTAAAATCAGAGAACGGGGCTTCCAGACTCAGGCCTTCTGAGGCCAAATGAAAAAACAGCCATCAGATAATTAAACTAGATTTCATGAAAGCAAGAGTTGTCTGTGTGCATATACACATTATACACATACACATCAGCTCAAAGGCTGTCTTGCAGTGGTCTCTGAAGGTGAGCTGTTTAGTACAGCTGAGACACTAAATCCTAAGTAAAGCCTGGCTGATCACAGCTCAGCTTCCTGCTATGGACATGTTGTACATTTGACAGGTGCACATCAGCTGACTTTGCTTCCCATGGAGGTACATAGTGAAAACAGCTGTTGATCCCAAGACATTTACGACTTTTGCACCTTGAGTCACACTTGGGAGAAAACAGGCAACCAGAGTAATTTGGAGCACGATGTACTCATTCCCTGTGGCTCAAACCACTTAGCGGTTGAACTGATTAATTCTGTACTTGGGGAACCTTGGAGGTTGCCTGAGATTAGCTCCAGACAGACTTCCATGTTGTAACACTCCAGTGCAGCAGTCCACTTGTGCATGGCTCCAGGAGGCCGGGACGGGAACACAAGGAAGCTTTCCACAGACTGTTTAGGAAAGGCAGACATTTCTTAAGGTACATGTTTTTGTTTTTTTCTTTTAATGACATTAAAGCCCAACCTGTAATCAGATAAAACAATGTCTACATGGGTAACAAAGTTCCTCTGCCTTCTCTTACATATCCAACTTTTCAGGTCCCCCTGGTCCTTTTGCAGCTTCTCCTGTAGTTGCCTCTTTCTCCTGACTCCTACTTCTTCTCCCTCCTTACGTGTATTTCACATTACACTAGCAACATACCAGCCGATCTCCCTGCCTCCTTCCTGTTGCTAGGACGGCCTTGCTAAGGCACTGTTTTCATCAGGAGACATTTTCTCAAGTCCAGACACCTCCTCTGGCCTTAAGGGACTTCTGTAATCCAGTTCTCTCTTTTGCCCTCAAACTTTGAAATTTATTTCCTAACAATTACCTAATCACTTTTCTCTGGTGCATGATTCTAGGCTGTTTTGTTCAAATCCCACCTTCCTTGTTCTTACTCCACATGAGCCAAATTAGATGGGATACTAATTGTCATTAGATCATAGGGATTTACACTATGGTGTGAACGTGCCAGGGTTAACCTGGGCCAACCCAGATGTATCTATAAATAGAAAGTATTGGTAAGATATATTAAGCACTGGTACCTTCAGGTTTAACACAGCCTCCTTTAAGGTACCACTTCTAGTGCACAGAACAGAAGACTAGAGTTTAGGCATTTGACACTCTTATTTCATTCTTCTGTTAGATTTGATGTCCCAACCTTTCTAGATAAACAAGCATTGAGAGTGTATCTCGTACTCATTGTCTTTCACTAGGGAATTTGCATTTCTGGTACTTTGGTGACTTTTCTAAGGTCACTAAGCTAGTAACTGCCAGAGCTGGGAATTCTGGCTCCCAAGACCTTCATCATTTACTGTACTACAGGTTGCGGTGACCCATGGTGAATCAGGTATTCAAATGGCATATGCTTGGTCTGCGTGCTTTCTTTTTGATCGTTTGGAGTCTTTTCTCAAGGATTCAGATGCTTTCTGTGTTTGTGGGAGGCATCAGGTACTGATCAAGAAGCTCTTGAAAATTAAAATATATCTGAAGATAACCTTTTGTCATCAAGATTACATTCATATAGGCAAGTATAA